TCCGATGTAGGCCACAGGGAAACGAGGGGCTGAATGTTAAACCTCCTCATTTCTACTGGGGATGGTCTGTCGGCTCCTCAGGGCGTAAACTTTCAGTAACCAAAGGGGCTTTGCCGAACAGAATGGCTCCTCAGCGACATAAACAAGCATTTAAAACGACTCTTCACCTGCTCCGTGGCCTGCCCCGAGTGTGGCCAACACAGCAAGCAGCACCCCTCTGCCAGTCTCGCTCCATAAACACTGAACGAGGGAGAAGACAGCTGAGGACCGCCATTTGCCAAAAGGCTCAGATGCAACCCGCCCGCTCTGGGCCGCCAGCACACTGTCCCTGGAGGCTCCCGGTCACTGTGACTGCTGGGCTCTGCACTGTCCTTCCTCAGCTTCAGACACAAAGCAGTTTCTTGCTGCGCGCCCACCCGACAGAGCACCTCTGGAGGACTCTAAGCCCACTCCACATGGGACCCGTCAGCCAGAGAACCCACGTCAAGCAAATGCACATGACGGAAAACCAAGGCCAGCAGCTGGGCACACTGCGGGCACAAGCCACGGCAGGTTCGAATACCCAGGGCGGCCTGAAAGCAGGCTATGTACCTGAAGGGCTGGGGCATAACGAGGCCCCGCGGAGGGTCTCTCTCCCTCTCTGTCTCCACGTGCATTCACATGCTAGCATTAAAAAATACACAGGAAAATAAAGAGCCAGCAATTCCTTTTGCAAAAGAACTGCCAAAGGGTTTCTTTAAAAGGCCTTTATGGTGGATTTAATTTAAGCCTATGACACACGAAGTGGCAGTGTCCCTGACTCAGTGGACCGTGGGACCACACAGGGGCAGGGGAGAGGTGCGGTGCTCACACACAGCACACGCACCGAGAGCATAGGTGGGTGGCCGGGCCTGGGCCCAGGCTCCGCTGAGTCTCTGCGAGCTGAGTGACCACGGCAAGTCCCTTCACTTCTTTGGGCCTAGTTCCTCACGCACAGATGGAGGATCATTCGTGAAAGCAAGAATTACCTCCCCGCGAGCATTACAGAGAACCCAGTGAACATGGAGGCTGTCGGAAACACGAAGGCATACTGGGACCAGCAGGGGGGCGTGGCTGTTAAGGCGCTGGACTGCCACATGGCTAACCATGGCGTGAAATTCATGCCAGGCGTGTGTGGGTACATCCCCAAATATCCCAGGAGGAGAATGGAGAAGGGTCTGCAGCATGGCCATCCCCCTGGGGGTGATATCTCACTTTCCCTCTCACTGTCTCTCTCTCTCTTTCTGTCTCTGTCTGGCAAGCGCGTGCACCCTAGGGCAAAAACCTAAAAACAAACAAAAAAAGGAAACATGAAGTCAAACCCAGAAATCAGGGAGCTCTTCCAGCATACGTACACGTGTATGAAAGTCAGAGCCCTCTTCCCACTGAACAAGGTGGCAGGTGAAAAGCTGGGACGCTGGACACTCAGGAGAGGAAACCTGAAGCCAGGAAGGCTGATGCCAGTGGGAGGTTAAAAGGGTGACCCCAAGACTAAAAAGCCCAAGAGGGGAAGCCCCATTGCAACCAAACCCTGGTCCTAGTCCTGGGCATCGGAAGATACTCCCGGTCTGCCATGCATTCCAGGAAGGCCACATACAAGAGGAAGCACTCGGCCACTAAGTCCAGGATCGAAAAGAAAAAGAAGAAGGTTCTTGCCACTGTCACAAAACCAGTTTGTGGAACAAGAATGGAGGTGCCCGGGTGGTTACACTTCACAAAATGCCCAAGCATTATCCTACTGAAGATGTGCCTCGAAATTGTTGAGGCACGGCAATAAACCCTTCAGTCAGCATGTGAGAGAGCTGCGGCCGGCACCACTCCCGGGACCATCTGACCATCCTTTCGGGACACCGTGGGGCGAGAAAGGGATTTCCTGAAGCAGCTGAGCAGTGGCTGCTACTGTGCCTGGACCTCTGGTCCTCAATCGAGCTCCACTGCATAGAACGCACCAAAATTTGTCATTGCCACCTCCACGAAAATTGTATTAGCAAAGTGAAAATCCCAACACTTCTTACCGATGCTTGCTTTATTAAAAAAGCAGCTACGGAAGCTCGGACAGCAGGAGAGTAGGAACTTCAACACAGAGAGAGAAATCTAAGATTTCAGAGCAGCGCGAGGTTGGTCAGACAGCTGTGGACTCACAAATTTTATCAAAAATCAAAGTTATTCCTCAGCTCCAGGGCTACCTGCAATCCAGGTTTGCCCTTACCAGTGGAGTTTATCCTCACAAATTGGTGCTCTCAATGTCTTGCCAAGAACGTAATGAAATGGCTGAGTAATAAAAAGAAATAAGAGCTGCCTGGAAGATGGTCTGCATCGGTCCTGACGCACGCTGTTGCACCCACATGGAGAAGGGGACAGGTGGGGGTCAGTGCTGTGGGGCAGGGCGACGTGGGCGCTGCCGAACAGGGGCTGCTGTCACCGCCAACACGCACACAGCGATGCACCCCGGGCTCTGCAGGGGCTCGGGCCCGTTTACCGGACTCCGACCAGTGTACTGAACACGGAAAGCACTGACAGGCAAGGCACCACTGGCTGGCAGGCCGGCGCGTTTGGCGGAGTGCGAGTTGCGGCAGAGGGGCGGTCACCTCCCCAGACCCTTCCAGCGGCTCCCTCCCACAACCTGCTGGTTTGAGGGGCACTCCTCAGATAGCCTTGAGTGTCTTCAACCAGTCAGCATCCCTCTAGGAAAACCAAAGCTGAAAAGGCAGGACAGGCTGGCCTGGCAGCTCCAGCGCCTAACGCCGGGTCCAGCATGCAGGTTGTGGCTGTGGTTCCCCGGCCAACCTGCACGTGTGCCCGCAACGCTGCCTGGCTGGGCAGACAGCCAGGTAGGGCTAGGGGGGCAGGACGTGACAGTAGGCCCCGCTGGGAATCCTTGTCTTTCTCTCTCTCTCAGTAAATAAACATTAAAAAAAAAAGAAGGAAAAAAAAAGGCAGAACAAACCCTGACGACTCTGCCCTGGCCAGCCGCTGCCTGCATCCCTCCTCGGCATGGCCCCGGCCAGCAGCTCTACCGCAGCAGTGCCTCCTCTGAGGCTGGCTGTCTTCGCTGGCCCTCCTTTTCCTGCCCTGCCCATGCTGTCCTAGAAGCTGAACGAACCCCTCACACCCTGGCCGAAAGGAGCGCCAGGAGTCCCGTAACCACAGGAATGACCAGAACAATCACAGGAAACTCGTACCTGGAAGCTCCGCGTGGATTTACCAGGAAT